TTTAAAAAAAAAAAAAAAAAAAAAAAAGTACTGAAGATCCATCATGTTTTCATAACATCTTTATTTTTTTGGAGAAAGTTTTGGTAACTGGTTCCTTTATCTAATAATCATGCTTGCCATACGTGGGGCGTTCATGTTCTACCGTGGAATACATTGGATGCATAGTAAAAGCCTTTAAGTAGCAAGTGATCCCTAAGTACGAGTAAAACCAGTATCCTTAACTGTCATTCCATCTACTGCAGGATCAAGTTAAAACTCCTTCACATGAAAGACAAGACCCTTCCTGATTTGGTCCCTGAGCAACTCTCTAAGCTCATCTCTCGCCAGTAGCAAGTGATCCCTAAGTACGAGTAAAACCAGTATCCTTAACTGTCATTCCATCTACTGTAGGATCAAGTTAAAACTCCTTCACATGAAAGACAAGACCCTTCCTGATTTGGTCCCTGAGCAACTCTCTAAGCTCATCTCTCGCCACTTCACTGTTCATTCTGCACCACAGTACTGTCTCCTCTTTTCCTTCCCCCTTCTCTGTCTGACAAGCTGTCCTTCTGCTTGATAAGTAAAATTATAATGTCTCCTCCATATGAAGCCATCTCTCACCTTTCCAGGAAAGTTAGGTGGTTCCTTCTCTATACGCTATGTACTAATAACATTGTAATATAATTATTGATATACATAATCTACCACTCCCACCAGACTGTGAACTCCCCCCTGCAAGTATTGAATTCTGTTTTTCTTTCCTTAGCCTTTATCTATGCCTGGCTCATCATGGGTGCTTAATAAGTATTTAATAAATAAGGTACACTGGTGTGATAGAGAATTGTGCATTTGGGATAATGATAAACTATGTTTTTTCAGATGCAGGTTTGGGAAAGCTGGTAACTCCCAAACACCAGGTGAAATTTTACTATTCTGCAGGGTCTAGACCAAATGCTACACCTCTTCCTTATAGCCTTGCTTAAATTCACTTGCCCCACAGTTAAAATTTCTCTCTCCTCTGGTTATTGAAATTTTGTTAAAGCACTTTAAATTCTTCCCTGTATTGTAGTTTTTACAAACCTTTTGTTAGGGTAGGACCAATGTTCTATTCATTTTTGCTTCCCCTTTAGCATTTCAGAGATAGTAGATATGTAAGAAATATTTGTTGAGTACAGTAATACATTTTTTTCTGATACATGCCATAATCCATTAGTTGAAATGAAAGATATGGCCTGGTATTTTTCTCCAGGTAATGCCCATTTTTCCTTCTTCCCTTCCTTCTTGTTCAGACAAGGAAATATCTGATGAGGAAGGGTCTGGAGATGGAGATTCAGAGGGACTGGGTCTGGGAGAATCCGATGAGAATGCGCTGAGTGCTGCTGAGGAACAGGAGTGCAGTGATGAGGAGAGCAGTCTGGCATGGAGGAAGAAGAGCAGAAGCTGCTCTGCAAAAACCCCAGGCTTCAGCATCCAGAACATCAGTGACTTTGAGAAATTTACCGAAGGAATGGATGACCTTGGGAGCAGTGAGGAGGAGGATGATGAAGAGGAGGAGGGTGGCATGGAAGAGGGGGATGGTGAGGAAGACTTGGAGGGTGAGAGTGAGGAAGACAGGACCGGAGACAGGAACAGTGAAGACGATGGTGTGGTGATGACCTTCTCCAGTGTCAAAGTTTCTGAGGAAGTGGAGAAAGGAAGAGCTGTAAAGAACCAAATAGGTTTGTACATGGTTTTGCTGATTACCTGTTTTTTTATGGTATCTGCGTTCGATCTACTTTTTGTTTGTTTGTTTTGGCTGTTCTGTCTCTCCTGTGTCCTTCCAATTAGTTTGCAACATGCCCCACTTACCTAGAGGCCCAAAGCCCCATTCCTCCTTGCTTAGCCAGCCATTACTGCACTGAGCTGCTTAGCCGGTTCTGCTCTAGTACTTCCAGCAACTATGGAAGATTGAAGAGAAGAATGTTTTCTCGTCTCCTTGGGCTTTTTAGCATTCCCACTCTCATGTAGCAAATGTTTGCTTCCAAGATACTGAATTTACTTCCTATAATAGAGAACATTTCCATGGTATGAAGCTGGTAAAGCTGTGCTGCTTAGAGACTGGTGTGGTTTGCTGTCCCTTCCACTTCCTTTTTATAACTGAAGGATTGGGTTCTATTTTCTTCTTTCTCAGCCCTGTGGGACCAGCTCTTGGAAGGGAGAATCAAACTACAAAAAGCTCTGTTGACCACCAACCAACTTCCTCAACCAGATGTTTTCCCTGTTTTCAAGGACAAAGGTGGCCCAGAATTTGCCAGCGCCCTAAAAAATAGTAAGCTTACAACATATTGTGATACTTAAAACCACTGTGCTACGTTGGGATGTACTGGGATTGATGTAAAAGAAGACAGGGAGAAGATTTGATTTTAGTGATATTATGGTACAGAATAGTAGTTTCAACTCTTTTTATTTATTTATTTATTTTTTGATAGCACTATTACCCTTTTAGCAAATGAAGAAAGTTTGATTGAAATGGTTTGGGTGCTTGCTCCATGTCTATTTCTCTTCTTCTCACCTGCCCTCACTCTCCCCTTTCACTTTCCCTTGGCTTTCTGAGTTATTTTGTTAATGCTCTGAGAACAATTTGAAAACCCACTGGTGTAGAACAAAAGGGAGAGAAGGAGTGACTAAACCTAGTTCATTTAAGTTGGGTGTATTAAGTGCTTAAAAGATGCCTTCCTTTGGGAGGTTTTTTGAACAATGTGCTCAGATATCTCATTCATATCTTCTTTTGGGTGGCGTACAGTGAGGAAAGATGACTGCAGAGGGGAGAACAAGTTTGGAAGAGAATTGCTGAACTATAAAGTCAAAGAATTTGGGCCGGCCCGGTGGCGCACTGGAGAGAGCGCCGCTTGGGAGTGTGGTGGCGCTCCCACCGAGGGTTCGGATCCCATGTGGAGACCAGTTCCCGTTCACTGGCTGAGCGTGGTGCGGGCGCAACACCGAGGGTTGCGATCCCGTTGCCAGTCCCCGGTACGGGCGCGACACCGAGGGTTGCGATCCCGTTACCGGTCAGTAAAAAAAGACAAAAAGGAAAAAAAAAAAAGTCAAAGAATTTTAGAGGAGAAAAAGAATTTAGAGATTGTTTGGTTCCTAGACCCCTCATTTTACAGATGAGAGAACTGAAGCCCAGAGAAGTTGGCTTTCCCAAAGTTACAGAGTTTATTCATGCATGGCAGAGATGAAATTCCAGCTTTTCTGCCTTGTGAGCTAGGGGGTCTTCTTTCTGTACCACACTGCCTCCTGTGTGCTGCGTGCCTGTGTGCCCCATGGCACTGAAGGACTGGGGCAGAGGGAGATTTGGGGTGAGTGTACGGGGGTTGGAATCACTATTCCTTATTTGCATACTGAGACTTAGTGTTTTCATTTGCTCTTTAAAACCTATTTTTAGAGTATCATGTAGTTAGAATTGAAAGAGACCTGAGAAGGACTTCTAATTTGGCATTTGCTTCTAGGCAGAACCACTTTAAACCATTCAAGATAAATGTATAGGATTTCGAGGGTAGAGAATTCTGTGAATATTTCTTGTAGGAGAATATCTTATTTAATTAGGAATGACTTCCTACGGTCCTGTATTTAGGTTTTGTGTTCTGCCATACTTGAAGTCTGTGTCCAGTGTGAAAAGTCTGGGCAGTCCTTCCAGGAACCTTGTATATACTGTGAGCATGGGTCTTTTGTATCCCCTCCCCCAACTTTGCCTCCTTCCTTCCATGAATAGATGATAGATTGATGGTTTTCAAATTTTTTGAGATTTTTGGAGCACTTCTCTGCTATTTTTAATGCCCCAGTTCCTCGTATGTCTTTGGAATTAGACCTAGACTGCTCTATATTAAATGTCTTAAATATTCCACAATAAGGCCTTTCTGTTTTATTACTCATTATTCTACTTGCTTGAGCCTTTTCCATTTTTTTTTTTTTTTTGCATTCATCTTAAAATAAAGGGGTCTGGCCAGTTACTCAGTTGGTTAGAGCGTGGTGTTATAATACCAAGATCAAGGGTTCAGATCCTTATACTGGCCAGTCACAAAAAAAAAAAAAAAAAAAGACATTTTAAGGATTAGTCAGCGTCAGGTATAATATTTCCTTTTTTGTCTTAGCATCAGGTGTAATGGACACAGTTTTATTTTTGGATACCATTTATTTTTTTATTTTATTTTATTTTTTTTTTAAAAGATGACCGGTAAGGGGATCTTAACCCTCGACTTGGTGTTGTCAGCACCACGCTCAGCCAGTGAGCGAACCGGCCATCCCTATATGGGATCCGAACCCGTGGCCTTGGTGTTATCAGCACCGCACTCTACCGAGTGAGCCACGGGCCGGCCCCTGGATACCATTTAGTTTCTTTAGCCATTTTATTTTTTTTATTATTATTTTTTTCCTTTTTGTCTTTACTGACCGGTAACGGGATCACAACCCTCGGTGTTGCGCCCGCACCGCACTCAGCCAGTGAGCGGGAACCGGTCTCCACATGGGATCCGAACCCTCGGCGGGAGCGCTGCCGCGCTCCCAAGCGGCGCACTCTCCAGTGCGCCACCAGGCCGGCCCTTTTTAGCCATTTTAATGTTATTTATCTTTTATTTTACAACAGTTCTTATCTTTTTAATCTGTCTTTTTTGTACTTACCCAGTTGCCTCTTTGCCTCATTGGTGAACCTCAGTTAATCTCACAGATGTCTATTAGTCTGACAACATGGGTTGTGGTGAAGGGAGAAGAAAGAAATGTTTGTTTGGTATCACCAGTCTAAGATGAGAGGGTAGGGAGTTCTCTAATAACCACAATATCTGTGCATCTGAAGGATAGCTGATTTTTGTTTCAACTGTCTTATGGCACTGTGATGTAATATGTTGTACACTTCCCTGTCTTGGTAAATAGAGTTTAAGAGGAATTTCTTGGCTACATTTCTCTGGATGAGCTATTTATACTGTGCTATATAGCTGGTGTGGAACATAGGCTGAATTTGTACCAACCCCAGAACAAACACTGGAACTTAATGTCTTTAATTAAATCTTTTTTTTTAGTTTGCTTGGTCTTACAGAGTAAAGTGGGACTGCCTGGGTGTAGATTTCATCTCAGCAATGGATTAGCTGTGTGCCTTGGGCAAGTTACTTAACTTCACAGTAAAATGGGGATAATATGTTTGTGAGGATTAAAGGACTTAATATAAAGCATTAGCGTGGTGTCTGGCACACGTCACAACATGAATGTTAGGTACTAGTATTATCTTTTTCTACTGAAAGAGGCATTCGACAGTGTTCAACCACGTGAATGCTTGTCAGTGTAACTAACCATCATCCCCATTGTTCAGTGTTGTTTAAACTTTTTATTAGTATTCAAATTCCCTATATACTTTAAATCAACTGTTTAGGAAAGTGGTAGTGTTTAGTCTACTATACACTATATACTATATGAATACATAATTCAGCTTCAGCCTTTTATGACACTGTGGAGAGGTGGCTAGACTTCCTTATTGCCAAACCCAGATACTACCTCTCTGAAGCATTTAACCTTTCCTTGAAATATTTTCCTTTGGCTTTGATGACACTGATTATGCTGTTTGGGTTCTCCTTTCTTTTTGATCTCTTCTCTTATGCTCTTCTTTTATCCTCTCAGTATAAATTTCATTGCATTTAGAATCCTGTCTTCAGGTTATATTTTCTCAATATATTCTCTCCTCAGCAACGTCATTTACTTTCATAGCCCTAGCCTCTAAAACAGCAGACTTCCAGCTATACTCTAGCCACAGTAAACTCCTGAGCACCATGCCTTTCTACCTTCAACATCCTAAATTCTCTTCTCCCGAAATGAAATGAATATTCCACCACTACCACCCCCCCCACCCCCCC